ATTGTAGCTATGTAGTAACTCTAAAAATTGGCTAAAAGGATTTCTTTCACTTTATCTTTTGCTTTCCAAACAGTTTTAACTGCTGTAGTTCTTGCAATTTTCAATATAAAGTTTAGAATAATTTTGTCTTTTTCTGAAAATGTGACTTTCATTTGTTTATGGCAAGTATGTAATTTGCTTTTTCATGTTGATTACACATCTTATGACTTTGCTATTCTCACTAGTTTAAGTTTTGTTTTACTTTGTTTTCTAACAGATTCCTTGGGATTATCTCCACAGATAATAATGTGCCTGCAGACAGGGACCATTTTTCCTTTCTTGCTTTAGGAAATTCTTACCAAGAATTTTCAGTATGATATTGGACAGTGGTAGGGAAAGTAGATATCCTTGCTTTCTTCTCTGTTTTATTTATTTAATTTTTAAAAATTTTTGGTCCTGGGGATCAGAAAAGGCATTTAGTTTTTCTTTGACCATCAAATGTAAAGTTCACTTTAGGATTTCTGTAGGTCAAATTTCATATATTTCTTCTGTTCTTAGCTTTGTGAGCTTTTAAAATCGTGTAAGTATTGAATTTTTTCTCCAATGACTGATACGATCATCTGATTTCTTTTTGTTTAGCCTGGTTAATATGGTAGAATACATCAACTGACTTGATTATTAAACAAGGCTGTATCCCTGTAATAACTCTCACTTTAGCCATCATGACAGTTTTTTATATATCACTGAATTTGGTTTAGTATGTACTTTAAGGCTTTTAATGTCTATGTTCAGGAAAGGTCTGTTGGTCTACAGAATTTTTCTTTTATGCTTCTTTTGTGGCTTCATAGAATGAATTCTAAATATTTTTCTTGTATGGTAGAACTGTTTAGAATTGGTGGTTTTATTTATTTAATTTTTTAAGCCTTAGGTAGAATTATCTAATGAAACCAGCTAGGCCTGTAGACTTTTGTTTTGGGCATTTTAAAGTTATTTAAATACCTTAATAATTTCAGGGCTGTCCAGTTTATCAGTTCCATTTTGTGTGAATAGTGGTAGTTTTTACTTTTCTAGGGTTGATCTAAGTCATCAAATTTATTTGTGTAGAACTTTTTAAAATACTTTTTTCCTTTTGTTATCTTGCTATAGTGATAGCTCCCATATTATTTATGGTAATGTCTCTTTATGTCTTTTTGTCTTTGCCATTCTTCTTTGAGGCCAACTCTTTGCTTCATTACTTTTTTCCTGTTTTTTTTTTATCAAATTTCATTCATTTGTTAATGAATGTTGTCAATGTTAGGTCCTTCTGCTTGCTTTGGGTTTAATTTGCTCTTCTTTTTCTAGGTTGTTAAGGTGAGTGCTTAGTTGATACTTTGTTTCTTTTCAAATATACATATTTAACACTATCAATTTCTCTCTTGGCACTGATTTAATTGTGCTGTATGAATTTTGGTGTGGTGTATTTTCATTTTTATTGAAATCACTGTATTTTTTTTTTTTTATCAGTACTGGGGATCGAACTCATGACCACAGGCTTGCAAGGCAGATGCTTATGCCGCTGAGCTAAATCCCCAGCCCCTAATCACTTGATATTTTCTCTTTGACCCATTTGGATTATGTAAAAATATACTGTATTTTTTACAAGATTTACGAGATTTTTTTCTTTATAAGTTGTAAAGTTCACTTTAGGATTTCTGTAGGTCAAATTTCATATATTTCTTCTTGTTTTAGCTTCAAGTTTTATTCCATTATTTTGAGAAAATATGGCATGACTTTGATTCTTTTACAGTTTTGAAGTTTTACTTATACCCTTATAGGTTATATTTATAGGATAATGTTTTATCTTGGTAAGTGATGATATGTACTTTAAAAAAAAAAAATCAAAGAAGAGCAAAACACCTACACTTCTTTCTCCTCTTTAGAAACTCCAATATGTGAATGTTAGATTTTTTTTTTATGTTCCCATAGTTCCCTAAAACACTGGTCATTTTTCTCTGTTTTTTTTAGTTTGTTTTTTCTCTACTGTTCAGATTAAGTAATTTTTTTATTTTAAAAGAATAAAACCAAAGAAAATAAAACAGAACAAAGCCAATCAAAACAAAACAATGAAATGATACAGGACTTCAAAACAAGACTATAGGAAATCAACAATGGCTACCATAATGCCACGTGTTATATTCAAATTAGCTGCCAATAGCATGTGACGTAATAAAATCAAACAGGACAAAATAGAATAAAACCAATCAAAACAAAACAATGAAAGCAATACAGAACTTCAAAACAAGACAAAAGGAAATCAACAATGACTGCTGTAATGTCTTTTGTTATCTTCAAAATAGCTGCCCCACCAAAAAAAATTAACTACCCATACCTTCAGACATAATAAAGTCAAACAAAGCAAAATGAAATATAATCAAACAAAACAAAACAATAAAAATAATACAGGACTTCAAAACGTGATAATAGGAAATTAACAGTGGCTACCATAATACCTTTTGTTATCTTCACAGTGTAAGTAATTTTGATTGTTCTGTCTTCCAGTTTAGTTATTCCTCTTCTATCTCCTTCCTTTGGGCTTTGACATTCATTGAATTCTTTACTTGAATTCTTTGAATTCTTCATTCATTGAATTCTTTACTTGGATTATTGTGCTTTTCAGTTCTATTAACTGCTGAGACTTTGTGTTTCTTTGTTAAGGCTATTTGTTCATTTGTCTCAGCATGTTTATAATTACATAATGAAGCATTTTTTGTCATGGCTGCCTTAAAATCTTGTTGGATAATGGTAATATCATCTTTTCAATATTAGCCTGTATTATATTTTTTCATTTGGTTTGACACCTTGGTTCCTAATATGAGGACTGGTTTTTGATGGTGACATGAATATCTTATATAAGCTCTTGCATTTAATTTTAACTTTCTGATGTAAATAGATAAATATTGCTCAGACAATGAAAGTGGAAAAAGATATCTTATGATTGCCAGGCAGGAATATGAGATCACAGTTTTTGTTACAACTCGAGGTGGCTAATTCCTCCTGGGCCTAGGTAAAATGTCTAGCTTTCTAGCTAGCCTTCACTATACCTCCTAGCTGGGAAGGATAGCAGTGTCTCATTCCCAGTTGGCCTTTTTGCAATGGGATAAAAGTTATCCTACTTCTCTGAATTTTCCTTGATACCATGCTAAAGGCAGGTTTGCCTCATTGCTTATTGATGGGAGCAGAAGTCTGGCTCTCCGTGTAGTTGCCACTGATACCAAGGTGTGGGGAAAGGGTGTGAAAGGAACATTACTGCTGCCATCCTCCTCGAGTGGAAGCCTTGACTTACTCTGTGATTTTCTGGCTTCTCCATGGCTGAGAAGGTTGAGATTGAGTGCAGTGCTCATGGTAGGTTCGAAGTGTAGAAGTCTCTGCTTCCCCCTCAGCCTTTGCTGAAGTGGATAAAGGTAGGGTCAGAGTGTTTTCTGAGTGGATATTGTTTAAAGGTGTTCTGTTTTGCCAGACTGCACTTTTCCTGTCCGTTGGCTACAGAAGACAGGCTGTTATTGATTCTGTGTGCAGTGCATCTCCTGGTGTTTCCTGGTTGTCTTTAGCTATTGTCTGGTGTGGATGAGGCCAAAAGGAAGGCCAGGGAACTTAGCACAGTGCTGTTCCTAAAGACCGGAAGCTCACTCACAGTCAGTCTCCTCGTCTTTCTGAGCCTTCTGTATTGGCTTTTTATGTACTTAGTGAGAAGAAGGGAAATTATGCCTATTCCATTTTCCCATCCATATATGTTTAAAATAGCCATCTGACTTATTTACTCTTCCACCATAAAAGTAATCCTTCTTTGAGAATTATTAGGTAAACAGCCTTTAAAAATGTAGATCATGGTATCCTGACCAGCTTAAACAAGGGTTTATGATTTCCTTTTTCTTTTATGGTTTCTTTATTTATTTTAAGTGCTGGCGATTGAATGCAAGGCTTTGTACATGTTGGGCAGTCCATGACTGTGAGATTTTAAAGTCCATTCAAACATCTGGAAAGGCTTTTTTTCAGTAGTAGGGACAGAGCCTAGGGCCTTGTGCATTCTAGGCAAGCACCCGAGCCCTGAGCTGCACGTCTGCTTTCGGGGGCTCCTTGGCACTGACTAGTGTCCCTGCTCCAGAGAAGCATGAAAACCACACCAAGTTCCCAGATGGGATTCTTGCTGTGGCTCCGGGAGCAGTACTGGTGACCACAGATTCAGGGGGTGCTGGATTATGACAACTCATTCGTTTCTGTTGATGTTAATTCACATGCAGGTGTTATGAGTGAGGCAAAAATTTGTAATAAGTCAGCCGGAGATTAGACCTAAACTTTTTAAAGGTATGTTATATTATTTTTAATGAAATGTGTCATCTAATTTTCTAACAGTATTATAAGTGGCATTTGAAAGCCAAATGAGTAAGATACAGAGGGAAATATTGCTCATTTTATTACAAAAAGAAGAATACAGCAAAAAGTAAGAGGCATAGTGATCAGATATTTTGTGAGCATAAAATAATTCCTATTTTATTGGATCCCAGGAAAAGAATATTTGAGTGCATACATTAAACTACACTCTGTAATAAGTATATGACATGCGAAATCATTTTTAAAGCTTAGGATTGACATCAGAAAAGCTCCATTACACTGATCTGAACTAATGATGCCCAACCTGGTCATTACTGCATACATCATCATGATACACATTCTTCTAAAGTTCATTTTTTTTTTCCCCTTGAGTTAGTGAATAGAAATGAAACTGAAATTAAAGCTGCTCCCATCAATACTATGACTGATAGCCTGGATCAAGGTGAACCTAGAAATATTTTTCCCAGATGATCACTAACTATTTAAAAGAAAAATTAAAACAGTAAAATGTCAGAATAGTATCTCTTAGATATTGTTCTTTTATGGAAGTTAGTGTAAGTGTTATTAAAAAGTTGCTTGTGAATATTCATCAGATAATGATTCTTATTTTGTGGCTAGACTTTTCAGAGTAATAAATTTTTTTTTTCTTTTAGCTCTGTTGGCTTAGCAAAAGCAGCTCTAGAGGCAATTAATGGATTCAACCTCTTTGGCAACCAGGTAATAAAAAGAAGCTTTTTATTATTTGAATTGCATGTTTAACTAATTTTGGTATTCATTAGCAAAGTCATTTCCTTATAATCATTAGACATCTGAAATACAAGCAGCAGCCTGTGCTTGAACAGTTTTTCCTTTGCAGATTATCTGCTTGTTACATTTTACTTTTCTTGCTAAAACAACATTAATTGTTTTAAACTTTTTTTATAAATAATTCTAATGTTTTGGTTCAGTAACTCCCTTAACTTTCTTACTTGTTAGAGGCTTCATTTTTTTTTTAATATTACTGGCATTATGTATCATATATATTCCATGTCGGTTTTCACATTGATTTCAATTTAGGATATGTGGTACAGAGTGGAGTTTGTATAATGTATGCAATCAGATAATAGGAAGTTTTGATTCCAGTTTTATCCTTTACTGTGTGTGATTATTTTTCTGCAAATTCATTTACTTGGGAATAAAAGGAAAAGCCTAACGGTCACTTTAAATTTTCATAGAATTGTTAACCAGTTTTTGCATTAAAAGAAACTAATCAACTGACAATAGATTAAGTTATCTATTGAAGGGAATAAAATGTAATAATAAAGATTGTTATTCTAGATCAAGAAGTAGGCTAATGCTTTTTTAGTAGTTTTTGTAGATTTCCAAAATAGCAAGACAATGTGAAATTTACAACTCATAATTAACTCTAAATTATTAAAATCCAAAGTGATACATTTTAGGAAATTACACAGGTATGTGACAGTTATAATACTGGAATCCTGAATTTAAGAAAATTTCAAGTTGTACTATGATTTCACAACTTCCTGCCTCTTCTTCCATGTATATATATATATATGGAATATATATATATATTCCTCGGGAAGGTAGCTTCTAGTTATACCGAGGATATGAGGAATGGCTACAGACAGGAGGATTGGAAGGAGAATAATACGTCTTGCGGGTGAACCAGGGATTAACCCTGTTTCATCTACTTTCCATAATACTGGATAGAGACAGATAGACAGACAGACAGAAAGACAGAGAATTAAAGAATGGCATTATATTATTGGTTAGGACAGGATCAGTATATGCTTTATACCTGAGTCTCTGCTTCCTTATCGAAAAAGGGTAAAGGTAATAGTAATAGGATCTAACTCAAAAGTTTCAGGCGAGAAAAGAGTCTGCCAAAAAAATGTATGTGTACTTCAGTTTGCCATACTAATAAATGGCTGGAAGCTAGTGGCCAGCCCTTTGAATACCTCTTGAACTGTAAAGGTCAAAGGTAACTTTTATGAATCTCATTATGTCTCCATAAATTTGTTACTAAAATATGTGTTTTATAAGTTTTTCTTTTTCTGATCTATACATTTCTTGGCAGGCTGTATAATATAGCAGAGGCTTGGTAAAGATTAAGCCCTCAGTAAATATTATCTTGTTACTATTATTAATGAAGTTTAAATAATATTAAATTGGGAAAATGAAGAAATGGAACTGAAAGTCCTCTAGAGAGCATGTCAAAGACGCTGAAGTGTGATGAATTCTGTAAATCAGAGCAGTGTAGCAGCAATCTATATGAATGCTTTGAGGATGCCTTCTGTGGCACGCCATAGAGTGAATTGAATGAAATTGTGTCTCTAGGGTGACTGTGGCGCAATGTGTTCAGATCTTATTTTGCAGTCATGCCATTTCCTTTGATGTAAGTGAGCCTTAGTGCATGTTACTTCCATGTCTTTAGTTAGGCTCCCTTACCTCCATGTATGCTTACACACATAAATACAATTACCTTTCCTAACTTTACCTCGCCTCAAGGCGTTGATTTTTCCCAGGAGATTTTCACTGGTCACTCAGCTATAATTGTAAAACAACTCAATTTGTTTATCAGGACTTCTGGTCCTTGGCCAGGTTTTCAATCTTGAGTGCACACTGAAATCATTTGAGGAATTTAAAAAACATTGCTGATGACTGAGCCTCTCCCCCAGGGATTCTGATTTAGCTGGTGTAGGAGGAAAACTTAGCATTGAGATTTTTTAAAAATGGTTCTAGAATTCTAAAGTGCAGCCAAAGATGAGAGCAGCTACTCTAAGCAGAGTTAATTCTTGCCTTGCTTTGGTTATGTCTGTTTCCAACATAGCTATCTATCAAATGTTTGCCACGCGGACTACAGTTTGATTATTTCAGATAAAAATATAAGAAAAGACTGTCTTGGGCCTGGGGATTTAGCTCAGCGGCATAAGTACCTGCCTTGAAAGCAGGTAGTCATGAATTCAATCCCCAATACCAATAAAAAAAAAAAAAAAAAGAAAGAAAGAAAAGACTGTCTTATTCCTTTAGCCACACAAATATCACATTTGCAAGTAGAGCCTCTTCATCTTCCATTATATTGGAGATGTAATGTTTTAGTTTTACAAATTCTCTTTTGTCCTTTTATCTGATGAGGAAAATTGCAGAAATCCGTTTTTTTTTTCTTTTTGTTGATGCTGGGCATTAAAACCAGGGCCCGTGTGTAGTAGCCAAGTGTTGTACACTTGAGCATCCCAGAAACCTGACTTTGAAAAAGTTAATATTCTCACCTCTATACTACTTCAAATGATAATGTGCCTGCCAAACAGTAGCACATTTAAAAGTGCATGTGATCTTCTGAGTATTTAATCATTTTATGTTACTCTATATCTTTAAAGAGATGTGCTCTTAATATAAGTTGAGGATGGGGAAGAAAACTGTCTCAAAGAAATTCTGTGTATTCAAGTGAAAACATCAAAAAAAAAAAAATGATACTTGGGTGGGGATGTCAGATCATATGGAAACTTATTTTTTTTCCAAACACTACTGCTATAATGTTTTGGAAGATCTGGTCTTGAATCTTTAAGTAAAGTAAGTTAAAAGTTTCAAAAAATACATCTCCTGTCTTTGTCAACTGGAGAGAGTCATGGATCTTTGGAGGTAGGAAGCTGCTCTCAAATTGGCCAGATTTCAAAGTAGCTTTTCTCAGATAACCCAGCAGAAGGGCAGGACCAAGAATTGAACCAGTGCCACCCAACAGTGAATCTAAAAGGCCAACAGTTGGTATTGGACCTCTCAGATCTCAATGTGTTTTTCCTCTTATCACTTGAGCACTGTGCATTTTCTTTGAAAACCCATATGCTATTCTCTGGGTAATAAGTATTGAACTTCTGAGGGACATATCTACTTCAAAATAGTATGAAAGATTTGCCTTTTATACTTCAGTATATTAGATAAAGCAAAAGCATTTAGCTTTGGTTATGATTATGTGCTTTTCTGTTTTCTCCTTTTTGTCAGTAGTCTCTGTCCTTTTTCAAGAAAAACATTATTTAAACCTCGGCTCTGAAAGTATTTTTAGATTTTTTTTTCCCTTTGGAACACTTAGGAGTCTAGTGTGATAAAACTACCTAATTTCTAATAATGACCAGCGATAGTAAAGGTTAACTTGGGGCAGTTCCACATTTAGAAGCATGCTCATGAGTCTTCCATAAATCATGTTTCATCTGGGTCTCAGACACATTCTATATGAATATAATGATAAATATATTTAACTGTTATTCAAGTACTATTTGATAATATTTAAATCAGGATTTACAGTATCAAATGTTCTGGACATAATAAGCAACAGTCTTGTGGCTCCTGGATTCGAGTCTAGCCCCGTTCTTCTCAGAAGCTGAGAATTAATCCTGAGGTACAGTTTATTCACTCTAGTGTGGAGTAGTGTCTCATACAAAGGAGAGGACCTTTTATTGTGAGAGGGGCTGCTGGAAAGAACTTGTGGGTTGGGAAGCAAGCTTTGGCTGCTTACACACCCATGGCTGCTAGACTATGGGATAAGGAAGAGGTTTTTTTTTTTGTTTTTGTTTTTGTTTTTTTCTGGACGAGCACTCTTCTGGCTGTGCAGAGAATTAAGTGAGCAGCCTAATACTGCATAGGAAGGAAGAATCCCCAGATAATGGTTTCGTGGTCTGCTTTGGCTTCCAAAATGAAACCCATTGACTTACTTTATTGAAGGTAAGGGCAGAAAGTCTGTTAGTTCAGACTCAGACAAGTGATTAAAACAGGAAAGAGAGGCTCAGACAGTGCTTCAGATGGTTTCCACCTTCAGCTGAGGCCACTGGTATTAGCGGTGTGACATGGTCACACATGGCGTTGTTGGCCCTACGAACCATCTCGAAAACGTCTGTTCTGGTCGTGCAGATCAAGGAGAGAGGTGAAAGTATGAGTGTGGAACTTCTCTGCCATTGAAACTACGTCCTCATGACAGTGGCCAAGTAGGGTCAGCTAGTCTGTTTACTAGAATATAAACAATTATAAACAATCCTCAGAGAATAAAATTTTAGCTTTCAGTTATAAAGTGCTCTCTTTTGGTGGTCGGGAGATTATTGCAGGAAATAGAAGGTGAAGACCAAATATCCAAAGTTAGTCAGGTACTTGGAAGTGATGTATACCTATATCTTTTATATTCATGGTTTTGATTGGTGAACTCAAGATATTAACAAATGAATTGTGTCTAAAAGGTGATGACTGAAGGGATTACTCATGTTATGCAAAGTGCTCAAGGCAATGCAGACACCTAGTTTCCTTTGAAATTTGCAGGTCTAAAATTAATGTCTGATAATTTAAAGCAAATGATAATTAATTCCATGTGTGTACTTTCTTTGCTGACTTTTTTAAAGACTTGCTTTTTAATGAGAAATAGTTGCCCATGACCTTGGGTAACTTTACCATGCTGGAAATCTGGATCAACTTAGTTACAACAGAATATCCAGAAACCAAATGGTGTAATATGTTAGTAGCCTATTACACAAAATAACAGGAGCTATAATTTATCCGGAGGCCAATAATTAATAAAATTAACTGCATGCCAAATCTCCAGAAATTGAATATAGAAAACTAACTTTTGATCTCACTGTTACAATATAGTAATATTAAGAGATTATTTTTCCATTTGGGCATATTCCTTAGAGCCTAACAGGGAAAAATTGAGATCCTAAAACTTTGATAAATTTAGATTATTTTTGGCCACACAATAGAAGTTAGCTGTTTACATTATCAAATAATAGAAAAAAACTACAAAATTTGTCATTTTACTTCATTATTTATAAATTATCCTATTTAGATCATATCTTTTAAAGATTCAATTTCAGATGATTTGGCATGCAGTTAATTTTATTAATTATTGGCCTCAGGATAAATTATAGCTCCTGTTATTTTGTGTAATAGGCTACTAACATATTACACCATTTAGTTTCTGGATGTTCTGTTGTAACTATTCTATTTGCTTTTGTTTCTCCAAAAATTCAAATCTGAGCTTTGGTCCTCATCTTCTCTGCTTCTGTAGGGACTGATTGTACTTATTATTCTTCCATATAAACTCCTTGCCTGGTATTGAGTTATGTGTTATCATGTGCATGCTGTGTGTTTTTCTTTAATAACTGTCTTAATAGTTGTCTTGGACTGTATATTGCCTGAGCTAGTTCCTTAAGGTCACAGTTCAAACCTTGCTTGTTTCCTACAAAGCAGAGTGCACAATACTTTAGCAGCACTTTGTTGAGCAAATAAAGATGGGAGATTGGGACTCTTAAATAATGGGAAGGACAGTGAAGCATCAATCTGGTTAAGAGACAGCATCATTCATTCCTTGATGTTTTAAAAAATGATATTCTGAACAAAAAGTCACTGTAAGCTAGTACTCACGTATGAAAGCAGGTTAACAGGAGAAACGCAGGGGTGAGTCTGATATTTGGGTCCAGAGTCTGGTGCTGTTAGACTTGAACTTTTAGTCCAGGTGATTGAAATCAGGTATGTTAGTTTCAGGGTAAGTACATCTTTAGGTTGGTGAGAACTGCGAGGTTTAGAAAATGATATTGAAGCAACATGAAATGTGTGGTAGCTCTGTTTCTCCACACTTAATTTTTTTAGTATTCTGTTGTAATTGAAGCAGTCTTGGTATTCTCATTTCATTGTCTTCTCAAATATTTTGTTCTTCAGTAAAAAAAAAAAAAAAAAGTCAGGTTTACCTGTAGTTATGTTTTAGCAGATCAATTGATGTTTTCTGTCACATGTGTAATATTTTGTTTTGTTTGAGCTAAGAATGGAACCCAGAACCTTTGCACTGAGCTATGCTCTCAGCCCATTTATTTTTCATTTGGAGATAAGGCTTCACTGAATTGCCAGGCAGAGCTCCAACTCTCCGTCTTTCTGCCTCAACCTCCCAGAGTACTGGCGTTACAGGCGTGCGTCACCACACTCACCATACATGTCTGTCATTCTGTTTCTGTCTTTCTGTTCTTAGTTGAAAGAGCTTTTTCGTTCAGCGTGATAATTATATAACCTAGTGGTTAAACCATAAGCTTCTGTGTCTGATTTGATTTTATATCCTTGCTCTGTTGAATTAAAGCATAGTGTTTTCCGTAGTAAAATGGAAATAATAGTACCGACATGTGGGATTTTAATTAGATAAGCCATGTGAAATACAAAGTTCAGTGCCTCACACATAATGAATAATAATACCTAGGATTATTTACATTATTGTTGAAATTCCCTTCATATTTTAATCCATAATTCCACATTGTATTTAAATTTGTTTAATTTTATCGTATAGTCAGCATTCTTTGTGAGAATGTACAATTCAAATTTATCCAGGTTATCTCTTGCTTTATTCCTTTTCATAATATCCTACCTGTATTTGTATTTTCATAAAAATAAATGTAATATGAAATTAACACATTTGATTTATAGGAAAACCAAGGGAGATGTAAAAATAACTTTGTTTTAATTATAAGTTTATTGCAAGAAATTTGAGAAATACTGAAACTACTAGAAAAGAAAATGAAGATCTCAGTAATCCGTAGATGCAGTCAGTGTTAGTATTTTTATGACATTTCACCCAGTAAGAATGCCAGGTGGTTTCAAGTCCTCCAAATGTGTTTCTGTTTCTCATTCCAGGGCTGTTCATGGTCAGTTATATTTGTGGATCTTGATGCTCACAATCGCAACCGGCAGACTTTGTGCTCACTGTTACCCCGAGAATCAAGATCTCATGTGAGATGTTTTCATAATAAGTTACAGTGCACTGTCATTTACAGTTTTATATAGTTCTGTATTAATATGCCAGAAAAGCACTCTAAAGTGTTAGAAGTCATTCCGAAGGATAAGACAGATAGATTTGCCCCCCATTCTTGTGGCCTCAGGAAGTGTTAGAAAGTGAACACTTGTGGATACAGCTGTATTGTCCTTTGAGTCTTTTGTAAGACTGGAAAAATTGACATTCTTTTTCTTTTTTTTTTTTTTTTGGTATTGAGGATCAAACTCATGACCTAACACTTTCCAGGCAGGCGCTTATGCCACAGAGCTAAATCTCTGGCCTGACATTATTCTTCTTTTGGAAAAGAAGCAGCATTATACCAAATTAATCATTTTTGTCATGGAATGTAGTTGGAAAACTGCATTTCATAATTTACACAGTAAAATTCCTTCCTGTTTCTTTTCTCTGATTAGACTTATATTTTTCTTTCACTGATGAACTTGTATATTTATTGTACCTTACTATAAACTTTTGTAGGGATTATTGGTGATTCTAGTCTTTTAAAAATACCCAAAACAGTAACATAACTTTAAAAGTAACTTTTATGAAAGTAGTACAAGATTATGATAAGGAAAAACAAGACCATAAATAAGCATTATTTGCTTATCTAATAATACACTATCTTTTAATTTTACTCCTCTGGTATAATCTTAGGGTGACAACACTTGGCAATACATGTTTTCATGTATTTTTATGCATATATATAATTTTTTTTTATTTTACAAACCTAGAACAATATCATTCATAGTGATTGTTGCATTAGGTCTATGACTGTTGAGATTTGGTTAATATTGATAGATCTGTTCATATCAATAAATTTCTGTCATAAACATTTTAACTGTTTCTGCAATATAAATTTTAATGCTGCAAATTTATTCACCTAAGGTTTATTCTTTAGAAAGTTTTTTTTTGCTTTTAAAAGCAAATTGCTATGACAGACAAAGTGGTGATGAGAGTTAGTGGGTTTTCCCAGTGTCCTGGGGATTGAATCCAGAGCCTTCACAATGAACTGTAGCATCAGCCCCACGACACACACTTGTGTACCTTTTCAGCCAGGTTCTCACTAAGTCAGTAATTTACCAAGGCTTGACTTGCACTTACAACCTTCTTGCCCCAGCCTCAGCCTTTCAGAGTGCTAGGGTAATCCTAAGTACTGGATTACACTACTTGAGTAGTGTTAATTTTTTGCATACTGCTTTAATTGATATTTAAAGTTTGAGTCCAGTATTGAACTTTGAAAATTCTCTTTATTAATGAATAAAGTTTTTGTCTCTGTTGAGTTCACTGAAGCATAGCATAGAAACATTTGTTCTGTGAAACAGAGCAAAGTCACTCTCAGTTAGAGGACCTCTTTTGCCTCCCCATTTCTAAAATTTTCCTTGGGCTGTGTTGATCCCATTGCTGCAGACGCTTACAGTCTCTCCTTCTCACTGACCCCAGAACACAGATGCCGCCTTGCTCCCTTGCATCAGTTATCCTGCATTTGCCCTGGATGATGAAGTGCTGTTCAGTCAGACGCTTGACAAAGTAGTGAGAAAATTAAAAGGAAAATATGGCTTTAAGCGTTTCTTGAGGGATGGATATAGAACATCATTGGAAGATCCCAGCAGACGCTACTACAAACCAGCTGAAATTAAGGTATGAAAAATATTTCAGTTTTAGGTACATAAGAGTGGTCAAAAGCACAGATTCAGGAGGATGACTTCTTAGATTTGGGTTCCAGATCTGCTACTTAATGGTTGTGTCAGCTTGGACACAATAATTAGCCTCTGGTTTGTCTTATAGAATACCAAGTTTGTGTTTATAATGTAGTTTTCACTCCATTAAGCAAATGCTTTTATTAAAACATTTCTCTTTTTCTTCTTTGCTTCCCTCCTTCTTTTCTTTATTTCATTTAGATATTTCTCTTAGAAAAACAGTTCTCTAAATATTTTGCTTTAAAATGCTACATATTCCAGATACAAGATGCTTTTAAATCCGAAATACCATAACATTTCCCTCTAAAAAGCATCCTTGCATATTGCCGAAGATTTGCCTTAACAAGAAGGTTAAAATTATTTTTATAAGCATGCTTTTATCTTTGACTCACTCATTAGAGATGGGTATAGTCTCCAGGAATCTGTCTAGAATATACCTAAGCAACATGAGACCTCGTAGTTGACCATTAACATGCCACTCTTCTAACATTCAGTGTACACTTAGTTTTGTAGGACAACCAGGCCAGCATTTATCATTTTATTTTGTATGGTTTTGAAACTGAACAACAGCATTACAGTCTACAGGTTAAGTACCTTCAAAAGTTTCTTTCCTACTTCAATCATTTCTTGAGGTGATTTAGCTCCTGTATATTTTGATTGGGCCACCTGCAGCCCCCTCCGTTCGTACCTCCAATGTTCAATCAGTCCAGCGGGCATCTTCTGCCTCTACACCTGCTGCTGAGCGGCACCAAGGGAGCCACAAACCCCAGGAAGAGATGTGGTCCCAAGTTTAGGGTCCTGTGTCGTTCTGTCCTCATCACTGCTTTCACTCCTTGCTTTTTGTGCTTTCCCCTGTTTATTCACGTTCCCAGCCTCCCTCCGCTTTCCGGCTGGAGAGCCTTTCGCTTGCTGTGGCCTCCTCTGCCACGTCTCCCTTTCCCTGTACATACCTCTGCCTCTTGTCCCACAGACGCTGCTCTTCTTCCTGAGACTCACCGTACATATGCACACCCCGTTCTTTCTTTTATTTTCGTAGGCATCTCATAAGAGTTTTATTCTCTGACTGAGGAATATATAGCTCTCCTTTTTTCTCATCTTCCTCTCATCTGCCTTCCCTCTTTTTCTCCCTTAATTTAAATCATTTCTTCTCAGCATAAACACACTGATATTCATCATTTTAAACAATACCAAAGCTCTCTCCCAACCCTAACTTACCTGCCTCCTATCCTCTTGCTGTTTGCAGCACATCTCTGGAAAGCCTGGTGTACCTGATGCAGACCTTGATTGTCTAAGTCGCTCAGGGCCGTGTCTTCCAGCTGTCCCCCAGGCCCTCCAGGAGCTGTGCTGACTTCAGTCATTTTCAGTCACTGTATAGTGGGTGCTTTCCTGCCCTTATTTTGCTGAATCTTTCCTGTCATTTGTGTGTCTTAACTGAGTCCTTGAAGCTGTCTCCATTTGCAGTGATTTTTCTTTCCTTGTACTCCGCTTCATCTGTCACTGTCTTTCTCAGTTTCTTGTACAGATTCTTCCTCTACTTCCTCTAAACGTTGCTCTTCTCCTGGGGTCCATCCTCAGCCTAGCTGCTTTTTAGTCCGGTGCCGCCCTGTCCCTACCCACCATGCTCACAGCCGTCACTGCTGGTGCTAATTTTCTCTACCCCTGACTCACGCCACTTCCCCAGGGCCTGGTTGTGTTCCTTCTGCTTTAGGACTCTTCACTTGGATGTCCTACAGTGTGCCTGTGTTCAGCTCCCACCTTTCAGTTGGGCCCACACGTGATGGCCATTTGGGGTCCTCATGCGTGCTCCCTAGGTCCCAAACGCTGGCATATTTAGCCTCCTTAAAAAGCTCAACATTTTGTCCCCTTCTCTCCTGGGTTTAGGTTAGTGGTTGTACTGGGGCAGTTTTGTCTTCCAGGGTACCTCTGACAAGATCTGTAAAAACTTTTGGCTGTTGTTTTGGAGGGGGCTACTGACATCTGGAAAGAAGAGACTAGGAATGCTACTACATATCTGTACACACAAGACGGTCCTTGTGTAACAACAGAGAGTTATTTGGGCCGAAACGTCAGGGGTAACTGAAGCTGAGATAACATATTTAGGCTGTCACCCTTCCTTGTTGGATTGCTCTAGCAGTCTCCTGGCTGAAGTCCTTATTTCTTGCCCTGGAATTCTCTTCAGAACTCCAGCTGGGGATTGTGCAGGGAAATCTGTTAATGCTCTGTATGCGTCAGTGGTCCTGTTATTTCAGATCAAAATCTTATTCTTTAAACATGACCTCTGGCCTGACCTTTTTGGACTTAGTTTTGTGTGTTTTGAAACAAGGTCTCACTACGTAGCCCAGGCTGACACTGAACTCATGGTGATTCTCCTGCCTCAGTCTCCTAACTGTTGGGATTACAGTTGTATGCTGGCACACCTGCTTTGGCCTTTAGTTTTTACTACTACTCATCTGTCCTTTTCTAGAAATATTACGGGTTGTACACTTTTTGGTTCTGTGTGCATATCCCTAAGCTCATCTCTCAGTGCAGCTAATTGAGCACTAGCTGAAACATACCTTGTCCTATGGAGCCTGCCCTCACCCTAAGGCAGCCTATTCCAGACAGACCAGATGTACATGTGTTGTGCTGGGCTGTGCTGGATAACTTACAGCCCAGCCTCTGCATCAGGCTGCGAGCCTCAGGGAAGTCGGCTGTCTTTTATCTTCGCAGCTCTGTTTAGTTGGTGCTGGGCATCAGTAAGTACTCTAATTCTTTATCAAATGATTGCTATTGAATGGAGGGAATAAATGAGCTTTTAAATAGAAACAGTCCTGAGAAGTTTTTTGAAAAAGTCAATTATATGTATAAAATCAGCTTTACTCAAGAAGTTACTGTCACTTTGTATATAGCTTAAATCTAGTTGTTCTAATTGTTAGTAAAAAGTTACTATTTTATTTTGTTCCAGCTATTTGATGGCATTGAATGCGAATTTCCCATATTTTTCCTCTACATGATGATTGATGGTAAGTAAGCTCTTTCCTGAAATTCAAGCTGTGGGATATCAGTGGTTTTAAAAGAGCAGAAAAGAACTATTACTCTTTTTCAGCTAGCCAATAGGCTGCACTTCGATGGTGTTAACTGCTCAGCATTTTTATATGCTACCTTCTGCTTTCTGAGTGAATGTTAAATCATGTAAAGATTTTAAAAACTACCTTGAAGTATTTAAATATTATTCTTGTTTACATAAGCTTTTTATTAATGGAAATTATGGATGCTATAATCACATTGTAAATATCTGTAACATGACTTTATAGAATCAAGTTCTTGAAAAAATATCTCACACATTTGCATTACTTTTTCCATTTAACATAAAAGGAGTAATGCAATAATTATGAAGGAAGTAATAGATTCTTTTAAAGTGAATTTATGATGCCTATTGAGCACAGATGCTATCTGATTTTATATTTTAGGGGTTTTTCGAGGCAATCCCGCACAAGTCAAGGAGTATCAGGACCTTTTGACTCCAGTGCTTCATCAGACTGTGGAAGGTATAACTTTATTCCAGAATGTTCCTGAGAAATGTATAAATGACTTCTTTACAATACACAATAATTTAAATTTTAAAATGAAGGAGGCCTCAAATGAAATTAGAAAGGTCTCTATTAATCTATTTTAATAAGTCATTTTACAAAACATTCATCAGACAAGATAAGGATAGAGAGGAACGTAGGCAGTCAGGGATACAGCAGTAGTTTGTGTGGGAATAATTTTTTCACCCATTACTTATTGTGTAACTTTTTATTCTGTGTAGTATGACGCTAACATAAAGTGGCTGGATTTTGTCCTGATTATCAGAAAGGCTGTGGTCAAGTGTATGCTCCCAGCTTCCCATACAATGGATGCCTGGAGAGGCTCTGTCCTGGTCTGAAGGAAGGCACTAGCATTGCCAAGAACATTCGAGCCTTCATTTTGGAATTGCTTCTAGGGTCTTTACCATTGTATTTTGAATATTTGCTACTATTACTAAAATGTTGTCTTTTGAGAATGGGTTAATATTCCATAAATGATCAAATTTCCACACTTACGAGTCCTCACTCTTTTCAGTCAAACACCAGTGAGGCCATGAAAGAACATAATTGTCATTTCTATATAACAGGAAAATTAATTCTCAAAGGAGTTCCAAAGGCAGTTGTCTAGATATCTTTAAGATTAGAAGTATTAAGTAGAATATGAATATTCTCATGAAAGAGCAACCTTTTAGAACAGTTATATGAAAGTTAAAGATAGGGGCTGGGGATTTAGCTCAGTGGCATAAGCGCCTGCCTTACAAGCAGGCAGTCGTGAGTTCGATCCCTGGTACCGATTAAAACGAAAAAGACAAAAAAAAAAAAAAAGAAAGTTAAAGATGATGGTGTGCTCGTTTAAAAAAGGCCTTATGTTTATCGTATGGTTACAAGATATAAAGTGTCATTCATTGCACTGGGTTCCCTTCCTGTCTCATACCCTGTTAGTGGTATTTGATGTTTTCCACAAATACCTTAGAGTAAATAGTTCATATTTTATGCTCATCTTTTACAATTCTTGTAATGTTAAAAAAGGTGAAATTTATATGGATAAACACTGGGTTACAAATAAATACTAATTTTTAAAAGCAGTTTCCTTTAAATATTAAATTACAAATAAATATTAATTTTTAAAAGCATATATGTCTGTGTACTCTAATCACTTGCCTAATGAATGAAATAATGTAATAAATAAGATACTCGAGACCTCTTGAATCAGCTGTTTTAGTATTCAGATCCTTTTAGTATGCATGAAATTAAGAGTCTCATGTACTGCCTTTTTGCCTTCATCATGCTAGAAGAGTGTTGTTGGATTATTCTTCAAGTATCATGGAGCATTTCATTGGTTTTTGATAAACATCAGTATTGATTGATGCCTGAACAAGGTAGTACACTTTTAAGGAAATCTTTGTGATTTTATTAGGAAAATTAAGTTGTCTATGTGCTGATATTGCAAAATGTACTCTAAAAAGATACTACTCCTTAAGTAATAGTTTAGTTTCTATAAGGAATATTTAAATAAGTTAGCCACAGAGAAAGATGAATTTGTTTTCCTCCATTGATATAGAATGGTAAATAATGTGCCTAACATTTTCTTTTTTTTTTTTTGTCTTTTTCATTTTTATCGGTATCGGGGATCGAACTCACGACTGCCTGCTTGCAAGGCAGGCGCTTATGCCGCTGAGCTAAATCCCCAGTCCCAATGTGCCTAACATTTAAGTAGGGATTTCTTTGCTCTAAGCAGTGTCTCAGGGTTATAATTCTTTATTAAAGATTATGTAGTATCTATTTGTGAAACATCCCTGGACTATTAAAGTAGCTTTCTCTATGCTGTATATATTGCATAGTGTAGATTTATCGATTCATTTAAAGCTCTTAAAATTAATTATTGTTAGAGAAGATGTATATATATATATATATATATATATATATATATATAGTAGTCTGAATCATTACAGTATGCTGTTGACTTAGTGCTTTAAAATCAAGTTTTTTGCTGACAATATCTGAAAGGAACCCGAATATTGTATCTTCTATAGTCTGTCAAGTCCACTACCTCAAGTAAAATCATTCTATCTGCTTTCTAATCATTTCAGGTGAAGAGAAATTATGGGAGGATATTGCTTTGTTACATTTTAAATATACTTATTCTTCAACTTTTACAGGATATCCTGTTGTACCAAAGTACTATTATGTGCCAGCTGATTTTGTAGAATGTGAAAAAAGAAACCCCGGTAGTCAAAAGCGATTTCCTAGCAACTGTGGCCGTGATGGAAAACTGTTTCTCTGGGGACAAGCGCTTTATATCATCGCCAAACTGCTAGGTAAGTGGAGAAGATTTGGAGCCCTCCACCACCACCGCCTTGGTGTCAAAGTGTTAGACATAAGTGGGTCTTTACTGGCGTTTTCTTTGTATGTGGGTGGTATTTCATACTGCAAAGGCCTTTGGGGAGTTTATCAGTGTGTGAAGTGTATTAATGTATCTGTTTTACTGAGTGATAGTGGACACTTTCTAGGAAAAAAGTCAAATAGGTATGGGTATTATTATGATCATTTAGGGATTGCATTCAACTTAGTAGAAAGATTTCTAACAGAAAGGTATGAGAACTTTGAGTTACTTTTATGTCATACAATAAAACTTGATTTAATGTACAATAAAACTTGATTTAACAGTCACATTTAGACATTGCATTAGTAAATTGCTTATCATAGGGAATCGGCCATTTTTGAAAATTATTTTTCTTCCAATGAATGTTGACAGTTTTTTTAGTTAGCTGAAAGCTTAATTGAATTATTTATTCATAATTCGTTGAAATTCTTTTTAAGCTTTTCCCACAACCGTAGCTGAATCAGAGTACTCTTGGGCACATAGGAATAGAAGTAAATTTGGTAAACATAAAAAATCATTATGCATCTCCTGTACTATTTCTTGCTAAAATTTCGGATATGATTAGTATTTCCATCTAAAGGGCTGTCATTTCAAAGTCCTTTCTAATAAATAGGTTATGAGGTAAGCTTTATAAATACTTTACCTGCATTACAAACAATTGCTTATTATATGAAATACTGTTATTGCTCTTGTGGTTTTAACATTTCTATGTAAGTGCTAAATTGGTTTGTACTATAAGAGCAATGACCTTTAGTTTCTTTTTTTATATGCCTTAAGAGGAGTATTTCAAAGACCATATTTTCAATTTGAGCGAATGCTTTTTTCAGTTTGCTCCTTTCCTGACTATATTTTTGGTCTTTCTCTCTCTCTCTCTCTCTCTCTCTCTCTCTCTCTCTCTATATATATATATATATATATATATATATATATATATACTTAATGATAATTTAAGAACATATGGAAAATTTTTTTCATTTTTTAAAAGGGCAGCTTTTTGACAAGGATCTATTTTTTTTATACAGGGTTTGTTTTTAGATTTTGTTTAGGGGAAATATATGTGAAATAGTTTACTTAAATTCAAGTCAGTTTGGAAAGGTTATCTGGTTAGAATGTTATTTCTGTCTCATTAACATAAATATAAAGAAGCTTTTGGTAACAGCTAAATAAAGCTTTTTTGGGGGGGTACCAGGGATTGAAGTCATGACCTCGCGCTTGCCAGACGAGTGCTTATACCACTGAGCTAAATCCCCAGCCTAAATAAAGCATTTTAGTAGAGTAGTATTTAACCTATGTAAGGATAAGAATTTTAATATGAGAATCATAAGTTTATGTACACTTAAAAGTTATGAATGAGCATGATGAATTTTCTGTGATTCAGAGCCTGAAAACTGACATCTAGCACCTGAAATTTAAAGTCAAACCTTCTTCCTCCCTGCCTTACTAAAAGTCCAATCTGGGGTTGATACAGTTAAGAGTAGTATTGCATGAGCAAGGCTTTGAATAAAATTGACAAGGCCAGTGCATGGGGAATACATAATTGAGTACACCCTCCATAAGGAAATTGAACTTAAATAAAGAAAAATGTAGGTATGTATTGATTGATGGGTCAGTCAACATGTTTAGCCATTAGAAAAATGCAAATCAAAACTATATTGAGATTCCACTTTATTCCACTCAAGGTGGCTAGCATCAAGAGTATAAAAAACAGTAAATATTGGAAAGGGGGAAAAAAGAAAAAGATGAACAGTGGTATCAGTCAATGAAAAAGCATTGCTCCTTCCTTACTGCAAAATAAAGGGAGATGGATTGTGAATTTTCTCATCATAAGGCCAGAGTGCACATAAATAGTACAAGGCAATGCCTTCATTCCTGTTTCGTGGCTAAAACGAGGCAGAAATACTGCAGGGCTCCATTAAAAGAGAATCAATTTCTTTCTTTTTTTTTTTCCTCCTGTTTCTAAGACAACATTAGAGAACATGCAGAATCTGTATGAACTATAAAACCACAAACCACTTTCCTGCTGATAAAAAAAAAATGTTATATTCTCTTAATACTCCTCTGTACTCACGTGTGATCTGGTTAACAACTCACTAGTTAAGATGAGTAAGTTTTCAAAAGATTGAATATTTAGCCGCTCTTTACTGTATAATTCCCTTGAAAGCCATCAGATATCTGGATTTTTATTAAGATAGCACATTTGCTAACAAAATTTTACTCATTTGTTAAAGGACAATACCTCAGATATCTGCTTGACAACATTTTGTGACAATTAATTGGAATTACAAGTTTTTACATAAAAGTAATAAAACAATGCATCTTTAAAAGCATTCTGTAATAGTTGATGTTCATGAATTCAGGGTAGTTTGTATTCTACTGAAATTTAGTAAAAATTCTTGGCCTATGAATGCCTGAGTAACTATACAACAAATATGTGGTTTCTATTCCATTGTTAGAGAAAAAAGACACATATGCTCTTTCTTTTCTTTTTTTAAATTTTATTTTAAAGAGAATAAAACCAAACAAAATGAATCAATATACTCAATCAAAAAAAGACAGTGTAAGTGACTCAGAATTTCAAACCAAGATAATAGGATCTCAACAGTGGTCACCCTAATGCCTCTTCTTATCTTCAAAATAGCTGTCCATGCCATCAGAAGCAAATAAAATAAAACAGAATAAAATCCAGCCAAACAAAATAATGTGAATGATACAGAATTTTGAAACAAGATAATAGGGAATTAACAATTGCTACCACCTTCAGATTTATGCTACACTGTATATTGTTATCTCCTTAATAGATGATTAGATTAATGGCTTTAGGTCTGCAAAGTCAGTGAAACCCTAAACACTAAAAGCATTGAGTTGTATTTTACCCCATTAGCTGTGATCACAGCCTGGGTTTCTCTGGAGGAGCCAGTCACTTCTGGGGCCTGGCGGGGACCACTGGCTCTTCTTGTCCCCTTGCCCATGCGCTGGAAGGGCCTGGTGTCTGGCTCTCCCCCAGTCACTGTTTAGCACTCACATAAGCATGGCACCGACTCACAGAACTCTTAGCTTCTTGCTGACTTCTTGTTCTCCTCCCCTGCAGTCTGTGAATGGCATGGACTCACAGGACAGGGCTGGCGTGTGACTTTCCCCTAGTTAGCTCACCGCTATGTCTTAAACCAAGTGCCAAACACCCTTTAGAAAATGATTAAATTTTTTACAGTATTTTCTTTTTTTACCTAGAAAATTGATGTAGCAAAATCAGTATTTGCTATACAGTAACCAAATAACCTATAAACATGTATATTCTAAGCTACATGCCATATTTTACGAGAAAATATTTGTATGAAATAAAGTGATCATTAGTTATAACTTCAAACTGTTATGTAAATTTGAATATGCCACATGCCTCTTTATAACCACTACATAGAAAGCCAGGTATTTTTTAAGTTCTGCGCAAAAATAAATAACCTGAAAGTATTTATCATATAAAAAGTCACTTGAAGATCATAATCTTTGGACTGAGTTTATTTTTTGAGTTTCTGAATACTAAACACATAATAACATTAATGGTAATTTTATTCTAAAACTATCCTAACACCATTATATAATATACATATATGTTCTTATTGGTGTATCTTGTCACTTAGTTTTAGGAAATTTCACTTCTAGCTTTTAGCTTATCTTTTTAATATGTGTGTAACCAACTTATCCTGTATAGCAGACATTTATAGAGATGATCTTCATTCACCTACTGTCAGAGATCTCAAATCATTGTAGATTAAAACTTTATATACCATGTAGCTTAATGAAGGTGAGATAAATTTTTAGGGTAACTATTTTGAAAATATTAATGAATATCAACAATTAAAACAGGACATGTTCTTTAAGCTTCAAGAATTTTTAAGCAGTCTTACTTAACTTTCTGTCACATACACACAAAGTCCTAAAATATTCATAAGAATTAAATTGTTCTTGAATTTCAAGAAAGACTTTTTTTTTTGGTACCGGGGTTCTAACTCACAACCTTGCACTTGCCAGGCAGATGCTTATGCCACTGAGGTAAATCCTCAGCAGGAAAGATATTTTTTTTTAAAGAATGGGTGTTATTTCATTTCCTTGGACCACTAATAGGGCCTTATAATATGGTTAAATATATAGAGAAATATTTTAAAATAGCCAAAATATTATACACATATAAAGTCCCCAAATTAATTTTTTGGATTCCTAAATTCCTTGACTAATGATGTTGTATTGAGTCAAATTTACTTTCCTATAGACATTTAAATAATTACTAATACCCAGTAAGTTTATAACCATAAGATACAGATTGTTTTTCTAATTCAGGTTTCCTTTTATTTCTCCTCTCCTGGTTTGCTTTTTTTATTTCCCTTTTTTTCATGTTTTTCCTGGAGTGCAGGGGAAAAGTCATTGGCTTTGAGATCATAAACTTAAGAACCAGTTCAGAGTGAATATGCAATCCTCCTCCTCTACTACCTCCATGACTTGAAAAACTTGTTTTTAACTTCCATGAAGATCAGTTTCCTTATTTTGCAAGGATTAAAAAGAAAGGAAAGAAAAGGAAAGCCTGCTCCTTACCGTTTTGCGCTTACTCATTCTGCTTTTGGAGGCTCTTTGGTATTGCCTGATCATCCACTGGCTGTATTACTATGGTCTGCAGTAAGACCAGGAGGACAGCGTAGTTACTCTGCCTCTCCCTGAGAGCAGCCTGACTGTTCTGATGTACTACCTTTTGAGTCCAGTGTTTGTAACAAAGATAAGTCTATTTTATTTTATTCTTTTTTCTTTCATTTATGATGTTTCTTGCCCACAGTTAATCTTAAAGATAAAAACCACTGATTAATCCTAGAAATTCTTTTTTAAAGTTGCTGATCAAATGTCTCCTACTATATGTGAGAATATAGGAAACTGAGGTCTTTTCATTGGTCT